GCTAGGACTTTAGTAGGGGTTGCTATTTAAAATCCAGAAAGGAAAGAAAATTCCAACCTATCTTCTAACTGCTGCATTTCAGGCCGCATTCTCCCAGGCACAACCAAAGTTGAGCTATGGGTAAAATCACTAATTCTATGTGGTGGGGTCTGTCAGTAACACAGCAGTTTCTGAATTTCCCCGTTGCATAGTTTTATTACCTGTTGGTCCTGTCAGTAGATTTGTTCTTTTTCCATTCTCTGTACTATGGTCATAACATTCATTCTGTAGTGAAAGCTCAAAGCAGGACAAGTTAGTCTTAGATGGCACTTTTATTTTAAATGGGTTTTAGGTAAGAGACACCAATCAGAGCCAAACTTCAACATGCACTTTTGCAGTAATTACAGCAACATTATATAAATATGTTTTTTATTTTGGGATAGAGGGTTAATCCATATAAATTAAAGCTGACCTTTTGTAAACACCCCCTGTAGTGTTGTATTGTTTGCCCCAACCCATATAATTAAATTGCAGAAAAACAAACTGCCGGTGCTAATTCTATTTAACCCCTTCACGACTGACGACATACAGTGTACGTCGCCAGCATCGGGGCTGTTTAAACAGACCGCCGGGACTCTGTTTCAACTTGTAAAGCCGACTGTCGGCTTTACAATAGAAGCGATTCTGGCGACTCAGCTGTCGCCAGATTGCTTCTAAGGCCCGGTGAAGGGGACCCCCCATCGCCCGATACCCCCACCGTGCTTCCCAGGCTCCGTTGCCCCTCCTACGGACTCGGGACCAGTTTCTCTGGTGTCCGCGTGAAGCTGGGGAGGAGATGGCTGAACCTCCGTTCGTTTATCCCCTCTCCGTTCTATGAGATTGCATCACTTCCGGTCCCATAGCTGTCAGTGCTGGGCTCCTGAAGATCTGCACTTCAATAGCTTATTTTGGAGTGTAAAGGTGACACTGGGGGTCTTTTGGACCCCCAGCATCACCTTAAAGAGTACCTGTCACCACCATCTGCTATCACATGGGGGGCTTGTAAGCCCCCCTGTGATGGCAATCAAAGTTAAAAAAAAATGTAATTAAAATCTTAAAAATAATGAAACAAATTTTTTAAAGTCCCGCGTCCCCACATAAACACATGTCGGGTGCGCCTACATATGAAAACGACTAACGTGCTTCACATGTTGGGTATCGCCGCGCAGGCCGGAGTGAGAGCAATATTTCTAGGGCCAGTATTTTTGGGTATCTCTAAATTGATGACCTGTAGGCGCTTTCAAAGCGTCTATAGACTTTTTGGGGTACTGAAATTTGTCGCCGTTTCACGAAAACACAAAATTTTAAACCTGGGAATGTTGGGTATCCGTTGTAACCTCGTCTTTTATATTTTATTTTAAAAAATTGGTATTTTATTGTGTTTAGGGGCATTTTAAGTACATGTTTCACTTAATTTTGGGGTTTGATAAGGAGTTGCGATATCGTGCTACATAAACATTTGCAACTGCCAACATTTTATTCTATAGGGTCTTGGCTTTCAGAAAATATATCATGTTTAGGGGTTTTAAGTAACTTTCAGGCCTAATGTGGAATATAACATGGGTACGAAAAATTTTAAAAAATGGCCTCAGTCATGAAGGGGGTTAAAGAAAGTATTCTGTATGTCGGTTTTGATCTTGCACCTAGTTACACTTTAAGCTTTACCTTTTGAGACCTGCAGCAAGCCACACGTGTTTAAAAGTTAACTTTGCCTAAAGTGACCCTCAACTCAGGAGTTACATTTTAAAATGATTTAAGTAGTACCTAATTAGCAAAAATGTATCTTTGTGCATAACTTGGCTGTAGAACCTAAAATCATCTCTGAATTGGTGCTGACACTGTCCTTCCTTCTGGAGGGGGGCTACTTGTGTTCTCCATGGTCCTTGGGTGTGTTGTAAAGTAGTCACCGCTCCAAGCTCACTCCCATGATGGACTACAATCTTATGTTTAGTTTACTAATTTGTATTGAGATTGTAGTCTGTGGCGGGAGTGAGCGGTATGTGTGAATGTGAGATGGGGACCTTAGATTGTAAGCTCCTTGAGGGCAGGGACTGATGTGAATGTGCGCTGTGTAAATTGTTGGCGTTGTATAAATAACAATAATACATCTTATTATATTATTAACAGAGGATCTACAGCTGAGTAAAACACAAAAAAAAGCTACATTTTTGTTAATAAGGTGCTTGAATACATTGTTCTCAAATTTATCTCCTGAGTTTAGTATCACTTTAAAAAAATGTTATCAAGGTAATATATTACATAATGTCATTTTTGAGGGGTGTAGCTGTCATTGTAAAATCCATTTCTTAGCAGTTTGTCTTGGCATGCAAGTGCTGCTACTTAAGGTGGCCATACACTTTACAACCATCGCAAGACCTTAGTCTTGCGATGGTTGTAAAGTAATTAAAAAAACGTACGATCTGCCCATCTAGGACAGTCAGATCGTGCTTGCGATCATCGCAAGCCCGCCCCCCCTGAGGTGACCGCAATGCTGAACGGGCAGTGTGCGCGTGCGCACACCGGCCCGTTCGGCATTTGTCTTCCGAGCATCATTCAAACCAGCCGAAAATCGTACGATTTTTGGCTGGTTTTCTAGTGTGCTCCTTAGACAAAAGACGTGCGACCGTACAGTAGAATCAGTCGCACGTCTTCATTCACACTGCACGATTCTCGTACGATCGTGGGATTTCCCGTGATTCTCGTACGAGAATCGTGCAGTGTATGGGCACCTATAGAGTGGAACTATACTCCTCCACCCCACCCCCCTTCCCGCTCTCTCGCTACATCATCGCCTGTTCTTCTCTTGGGTTCAGGATATTTGGCCATCTTAATTGGTCGTCCCAGAATGATGCAGCTCCTGCCCATGTGCGGGAGTTTTTATTTTTCATTGCCGGCATATGCCAAAATTGTCCACAAGATTGTAAACAATTAAGAATCCGTTATTGCTAAAGAGGTATAATCTGACTCCTGCAACAAAACCTGCCTGTTCACACTTATTTTATTTGTAACGTTCCACTAAAGATCAGCCTCACCATGAGCAGATTTTACTGGTAAGTGGTTGCTGACAAAACTGTACCACTTGCTGCATCTCTCATGGTTTTTAGAAGGGTAAATATCCCCACAGTAATTCTGTGTTCCACGCGGTGCTTATGCATGTTCTAAGGTTAGCTGATGGTGTCACACTGCCCCAAGGGTTTCTCCACACAGAATATAGATGGAGTCATTTGAAATTCCAGAGTGTGACTAATTTAATACAACTTTGGAAGAGGTCACAAGCTACTGCAAGGAAATTTCACTATTAAAGCCTCAGAAAACTGTAAGCTGGCAATTTAACTGAAACCTCATATTCCACTTCTTAATGGACTCTGGTGGGTTGAATCAATTACCTGTCTGAACACAGTTTTTATGTATGCTTCCTATTCAGTGTTCTCAGGTATACTTGTAGAGTTGGTGTACTTTAAAGAAGGGAAAGCATTTTTTTTAATTGCATAACACCTGTACCTACATTGCTGTATTTAAAATGTAAGTCATACCATTAATTTTGGATAGAGTGGTGAGGTGTTGGAACCCCTGTTTGGGTTTTCATTGTGTCCCCCAGCTAGGCTCTTTGTCCTGGTTACTGCAGTCACCAGGACTAAAAGTGAGGGAAAAATTTTTTTTTTGAGTTGTCATTAAAACACAAATATAGGGACACTTTTATATAGGTTCTTATATAGGTTAGATATAGGTTCTGGTGACATCTGTCTCACTTCTTGTTGTGTCTACAGGACAAGTAAAAGGAAATCTCTCCATTTAAGATACAGCAAAAGAACCTGATGGGGGTTTTAACCCCTCCCTACTCAAACTTCAGCTTTTGATATGATTTAACGTTGGTTGTATTTCAGCCTTCGATTCCCTTTTTGTCAGGTTGAATGGGGGAAGGGTTATTTGGCTGCATTTAGTTTTAGAGACCGTGCTGGGATTCAGACTTTGCATCTCCATACAGATTCTCCTTTTTTTAAGCAGTGTTTCAATGCCAGTTGTACATATGTATATGTTTAGGGGAGCCAGTTGTCTCATTACATGCTAATCCTAAGCAAATTGTTTGTTTAGTCCACATTGAACTTAGTGTGCTGCTATGTAGACAAGTAGTAACACCATAGAGCTCCTTCACTTTCATGATGCCATCATGCCTCATATTCATCCTACATGATCTAGCCATCAGAAGTTGGTCCCATGATACCAGTGAAAGCTGAATACCAGATGCTAGTTGGCAATAAATAATCATGTGTATAAGTCTTGAGTAATCCAATAAAGCAAAAATATTTTACTGCTGAAAGCATTCTTCTCTGGAAAAAGATGTGATTTATAAATTTGTCTATGTAAGTAACAGTTCATGTCCTGTGATACATAACGGACCAATAGTTTAGGTGGGGCTGGCCTGCAAACAGACATCAGGATCCTTTTTGTAAGGGCTGGTTCACAGTTCACACCACAAACTGTGCGTTCGAAAGCAGTCAGCCTCTGGAACGCACTGTATCGCAAGCCGGCTTGCTCCATGCGTTCAGGGTTGGCAGGGGGCGTGGTGGTGCATTGAAGTCAATGGCACTTCAACTGTGCCCCTTGCCCGCAGTGTGATCGCCTGCACTCGAATGCGTGGCACATTAGTGCCTTTGTTCCGGTCCAGTGCGATCTGCACAATGTTTGCAGACCGCAGTGGACCCGGAAAACAGGCACTAATGTCCCGGGCGAAAGTACTGCAGGCTTGGGTCGTGGTTGCGGTGCCATTGACTTTATGCACCACCACACCCCCTCCTGTCCCTGGACACAGGGAGCCGGCCGGGTTGCAATACAGTGCATTCGAGGCTGACGTCTCTGGTGTGAACCGGCCCTAATAGTCTAGGAGTGTGTTTTTAGTAGAAGATGATGCAGTGTTTGGATAATATCTGTGAATGACACATTTAGATATCTATTTTCATAACTGTGTTGTGCTCTTTCTACAGACCACAGACTAAGTTATGACATGACCCTCAGCTGACTGACTGAAACGTGACAGGAGACTGCTTTTACGTACTGGTTTAGTAAACGTTTGCTCATAAAGACTTTTCATGGGAAGAGAGAATATCCATGTGTTAAATATTGCATTTCCAAATAACGAGTTACAATGCTTATTCGATCATTAGAATTGTTTTAATTCTCTTTTTTTTTTCTTTTATTTGTGACTACCATGTTGCTATATGCATTGTGAGAATAAATACATTTCCATACATTATTGTTGTGTGTGTGTTTTTTTTTACAGTAAAGTCAATCATTGTTGACCATGGCAATCGTAGACATTGACATTAATGGGAATTTACATTTAGTGACACTGAACTCGGGAGTTAAATCCCAATAGTTGCATTCAAACACCCTAACTATATTTTTTTTACAACTGTGGCCTATTTGTGTATCACTCAGCTGTAGATCCTCAAATCATCTCTGAATTGGTGCTGACACAGTCCTTCCTCTGGAGGGTGACTACTTTTGTTCCCCATGGTCCCTGTGTGTTTTGTAAAGTATCCACCGCTCCAAGCTCACTCCTGTGATAGACTACAATCTCACGTTTTGTTTACTAATTTGGGAGAGAGCATGGAGCGGTGATTACTACAACACACACCATGGGGAATAAAAGTAGCTCCCCTCTAGAAGGAGTTTCTCTCGTCAACCTCATTAACATACGATAAAGAAGCCAGGGTTATAACCCCCTCACCCCTCATAGCCCCTCCTAGTATTTACAAAAGGAGAAGCAAGCGAAAATTGTAAACACTTAAGAAGCCAAGAAACCCTAACACATGTAAAAGCAAACTGCAAGAAACATTTGTACAAATATTTTTTTAGCTTAAGCTATGTGTAGGGGGATATATAACAAATCTAAAATAGGTTTTATGCCAATTTGGCTGCAAAAGTAGATATACACTAAGCTGAATATCATTAATATGCAATATTTCATATTTACCTGACAGTTTTTAAAATTGTTTAGTCTCACCCATTATAAGGAGCAGGGACGGACCTGCTGCCGGATAGTGTCCGATGATCACACTGGTATCCGGCAGCCCCCTCATGATCCGACACTCCCGGCGCAGAGATTAGGGGGCTGAGGCGGGAGCCGAGAATAGAAAAGCCGGCAGGCATTATAGGGGGCAGCCCTGGGCCTCGGCCTTGAGAACCCTACAAACAGCCGTCTGAGTACATGGGCGCGCTGTGACACACACACGTTTTTCTGCAGCCTTCCCCACCAGAAAACAGCCAGAAGAGGTGAAGGTCAGTTATTAAATAAAATTATTTTTTGTAGCCCAACTGTTGCAAGTAGAAAACTTGCTGTGGAGCCCCTGCTAATGCCCCTCCCCCCCAGCTTTTGCACATTTACAGGTGACATTATGTATTCCAAGCTAGTCTACAGGTGAAACTCGAATAATTAGAATATCGTGCAAAAGTAATGGCAATAATTGCTGCAAAGGGGGCCAAAACCAAGTACTGAGTACATATGCATGCTTGTACTTTTCAGAGGTCTGATATTGTTCTATGTACAATCCTTGTTTTATTGATTGCATGTAATCTACTTTTTTGAGGTTGTGGATTTGGAGTTCTTGGGGTTTTCATGAGCTGTAAGCCATAATCATCACAATTATGACAAATCACGGCTTGAATTATCTTGCTTTGCATGTAATGAGTCTATCTCATGTATTAGTTTCACCTTTTAAGTTGCATTAGTGAAATAAATGAACTTTGCACGATATTCTAATTATTCGAGTTTCACCTGTAATGTAGTAACATTCGTTTGCTTTTTTAAAAAATTACAATTACAAATGCTAATCCAGCAAACTGTACACATCCCCCTGCCTACCTTTCTCAGCTTCCAGGCAGACTGAACTACTGAGCCTATTTGATATCAATCCACCGCGCTGGGGTGGCTTGATATCTCCTGCACTCAGTACTGCAGGCCGGGACTTTAACTTGCTTGTCGGGACCTGCAGCTCCTGATATCATTCCCCTGGCCGAAAGTGAGAAAATAGTCCCCTCTCTTCCCGGGCCCTTTTACTTCAGCGGGGGGGCGGGAAATAGGGGATAGATTCGCAACACGGAGTTCCCTTGTACTGACAGAAAATCCCCCCCTCTGTGTCTCACTACTGAAGATGGGCTGCTCCATGCAGGAAGGGCGCCGCGACCCACTGCAGAAGGGCTCGCGACCCACTTTTGGGTTGCGACCCATGAGTTGAGAACCACAGCTCTAGAGGACTATAAATCTCTATACAGCAATGCTATTTTCCAACTTTTTTTTGTGGTTGCTACAGGGGATGTGGGTTGGGGGGTGTGTGGGGCCCGAAAAAAAAAAATCTTGCACCAGGACCCTTTGTTCCCTAGGTCCCTCACTGATGAGGAGAGAAAATATGTACCAAACCGTTCAACTTCACTATACATGGATGAATAGGGAAATGTTTAATTAAATCTTGTTAGCATTGTTTAAATGTACTGAACATTTTTCCTTTATATTCATACAGTTCTGATAATGGCAGATTAAAAAAAAAAAAATACATTAAGATGGATATGCACCATATTTTATATTTCGTTGGTAGCTGCAAGACAAAGCAATTAAAGAATTTGATGGACTTCAATTATTTTCGCTGTCTAAAAACCTTAGTCCCCTATGTTATAGCAATAAAGTTAAGTCAAAAAAAAAAAAGAAGCTAAAAAAAAGAAAGAAGCTAAAAAAAATTAAAAAAAATAACACAAACATTTTTTTAAAGTCCCCCGCCCCCCAGATACACGCGCAAACATGCGTCGGGTGCGCCTATGTACGAAACCGACGATTGCGCCCATTATGCAGCACATGTTACATATTGCCGCGAACGTCGCAGTGAGAACAATAATTCTAGGGCCATCAATCACTGATGACACTAAATGTGTATGTGTAATATACGGAATAAACATCAGTCAAAGTACCGCAGCGCTGAATACTGAAAAATGGCCTGGCCAGGAAGGGGGTGAAACACTATGGCCTTCAAGTGGTTAAGTTGGTGTAAGAATGGTCTTGCTTTGTATTAGTTATCACTCACCTGTGACTTTTCCCCCATATTTTCTAGTGTTGCAGCCTGCAATTAAAAAGGATTGGATAGGGGTGTTATGTCACTGTTTACATTTAGTTGTCTATAATGGTAAAGTGGAAAAATATACAAAGTTTTTCATATTGTGTATAAATATAAAGCTGATTCTTCTTATGTATGTAAATACCGCCTAAATAAGCTCTGGCTTCAGTAGCCCCTGAATGTAGTTTTCCAGGATACCAATAACATTAGTGGGGGGGGGGGAGTGCCAGGGCCCGGTCCCAGCTGCAAACGCTGCACCCCTGGTAGTTCTGCCACTGACATCTCCAAGCTGTAGAGGGACTACAAATCTCAGCAATACATCATACAGCAATGCAGAATACCACCAGCTATAGAGGACTACAAATCCTGGCAATATATTATACAGCAATGCAGAATAATACCATCCACTAAAGAGGGCTACAAATCCCAGCGATACATTAGTGCAGAATAATATGAAGCTGCTCCGGGGTGACGGCCTGATGTCTCCAGGGGAGGTTCTCAGGTGGGCTGTGTGGGGATCTTGCCAGGGGTCCCGGTTGGTCTCAGCAGGTGCGGGGTTGCAAGAAGGAGATATTCGGCCTGTGCTGTAAACAGGCGCCGTGGTTCACAGGAAGGCTGCCAGGACCTTGCTGGGGACCTTGGCAGCCTTCCTGTGAATGGTGGCACCTGTTTAAAAATGTAAAGCGCCACTACTAGTGTTTAGCATTGGGGCATTTTCATGATATCTGTATCTGTGCATCCCTAATTAACATGTAACAAAATTGGACCTGAGTGTTTATTCGAGAACATATCTAAACAAGCAGCATCATGAGTACCAAAGAGCTATCAAAACTAGTCTGGTATAATATCCTTGAGAAGAAGCAATCATGGTTATGGAACGATACAAATCTCAATCTTTGAATCATTGTCAGTGTGTTGGGGCATCTGCTGTAGTGTGCACGATACCTTAAAGTTTAGAACTTCCCTCAATTTCTGTTGCCAGAACAGGAAGCAAGAGAAGAGTGTATTTCCCCAACTGGGACACAAACGGCAAAAAAAAACCTGACAAGAGGTTCTTGCACTTTCTTCATCTTCCCCATTAGAGTTAAACCTTAGGAGTGCACTGTTGAGGCAAATCATTGGGAACACTGAACCTCTGTCCCATTTTCTGTAAGTATTTCATTAAAATATTTAAAAATCATTTAGCCAAATCTATGAATGCTGTAACTTGAAATTACAGAACTTAGTGCGTCTGAAGAAAGCTACTATATTATAAATTCTGTTACATTCCTGTCTGAGCTTGGCAGCAAGTGTCCCAGAGCTTTCTTAAAGGTCTGAATTGCTACAACAGATGCTGTGAATGGTAAGTGTTTACATTAAAAAAAAACACATGGTGGCAACTACTGTAATGTGTGTAAAGCGTTAACTTGAAACCAAACCTGCCACGGTGGTTTCCACTCTGTCTGCTGGTGCTTAGATCGTTGTCCTGCTAGCTGGAAAATCTCTGTGCAGGGTGAGCCTGAGAGTGTCTTTTTGTCACACCACCTCTTTCCAGTGAGTAGAGAACTGCCCTAGGAAGAGGTAAAGATGCCATAAAGCTCAACCTGGAAATTGAAGCGTGATCAAGTTTAATCTAATTCTCTGGGAAAATTAAAGTATCCAAAACCAAATTTTGAGGTGCCCCCAGAACATTAATATAGGAAAGATCTTTCAATGGGAACATGTCTTGACAACTAAAAGGACTTTTTTATTTTAAGAGATCTCCTCCTCTTACTTGCTATTTTTGTCGCTGGGAAAGGGAGAAGGAAAACTGACCCCTCACAACCCAGAAACCATTCTTTGGTCTGCTCTAAGCTAAATTGTAAAATTTGGTTGCTATGGAAATTGGTTTATGATTACACATTTATATCTTCAGCAATTCTGCGCAAACTGGAAGTCTCACTAGCGTGATTTACATCAAACACTGTCAGTTTGAAAGCACGCTGAACATTCATCCAGCATTTTATCACTGTCATGAAAGATATCTACAATGTACTTGTAACCTGAGAGACAGTCTCAGGTGTCTGGCAGATTGCTCTATGTAACAATAAATAATGGAAATTACA